TTCTTTCTATTGTGGAACCTTGTATTATTGAGAATCTGTAGCCTTCAGCAAAAAAACACACTTTAACATTTACGACTTCATATACATGGTGGTACATTCCAGTCAATTACTGGTCTTAGTTGATTTTTCAGATGAGATACTTCTTTAAGAAATGTCCCTAAGACCAGGTTTTACAATCAGAAGTTAACTGCAAGTTGACTGCTAACCAGAGGTTAACTCTAAAATAGCGTTTTTCAATACCCATTAAGTTTGTCCTAAAGTGGCCTGTCTTAGTTGATTCTTAGATAAGATGCTTCCTTGAGAAATGTCCCTAAGGCCAAGTTTTACAATCGGAAGTTAACTACAAATTGACTAGCGTTTTTCAATATTAAGTTTGTCCTAAAGTGGCCTGTCTTAGTTTATTTCTTAGATAAGATGCTTCCTCAAGAAATATCCCTAAGGCCAAGTTTTACAATCGGAAGTTAACTGTAAGTTGACTGCTAACCAGAAGTTAACTAAGAAATAGTGTTTTTCAATATTAAGTTTTTCCTACAGTGGTCTGTCTTAGTTGATTTCTTACATAAGATGCTTCCTTGAGAAATGTCCCTAAGGCCAAGTTTTACAATCGGAAGTTAACTACAAATTGACTGCTAACCTGAAGTTAACTCTGAAATAGCGTTTTTCAATATCAAGTTTGTCCTAAAGTGGCCTGGCTTAGTTGATTTCTTGGATAAGATGCTTCCTCAAGAATGTCTCTAAGGCCAAGTTTTACAATCGGAAGTTAACTGCAAGTTGACTGTTAACCAGAAGTTGACTCTGAAATAGCGTTTTTCAATATTAAGTTTGTCCTAAAGTGACCTGTCTTAGTTGATTTCTTAGATAAGATGTTTCCTCAAGAAATGTCCCTAAGGTCAAGTTTTACAATCTGAAGTGAACTGCAAGTTGACTGCTAACCAGAAGTTAACTCTAAAATAGCGTTTTTCAATATTAAGTTTGTCCTAAAGTGGCCTGTCTTAGTTGATTTCTTAGATAACATTCTTCTTCAAGAAATGTCCTAATACCAGGTTTTACAATCGAAAGTTAACTGCAAGTTAACTCAGAGATAGCGTTTTTCAATATCAAGTTTGTCTTAAAGTAGCCTTTCTTAGTTGATTTCTCAGATAAGATGCTTCCTCAAGAAATGTCCCTAATACCAGGTTTTAAAATCGAAAGTTAACTGCAAGTTGACTGCTAACCAGAAGTTAACTCTAAAATAGCGTTTTTCAATACCTATTAAGTTTGTCCTAAAGTGGCCTGTCTTAGTTGATTTCTTAGATAAGATGCTTCCTTGAGAAATGTCCCTAAGGCCAAGTTTTACAATCGGAAGTTAACTACAAATTGACTGCTAACCTGAAGTTAACTCTGAAATAGCGTTTTTCAATATCAAGTTTGTCCTAAAGTGGCCTGGCTTAGTTGATTTCTTGGATAAGATGCTTCCTCAAGAAATGTCTCTAAGGCCAAGTTTTACAATCGGAAGTTAACTGCAAGTTGACTGTTAACCAGAAGTTGACTCTGAAATAGCGTTTTTCAATATTAAGTTTGTCCTAAAGTGACCTGTCTTAGTTGATTTCTTAGATAAGATGTTTCCTCAAGAAATGTCCCTAAGGTCAAGTTTTACAATCTGAAGTGAACTGCAAGTTGACTGCTAACCAGAAGTTAACTCTAAAATAGCGTTTTTCAATATTAAGTTTGTCCTAAAGTGGCCTGTCTTAGTTGATTTCTTAGATAACATTCTTCTTCAAGAAATGTCCTAATACCAGGTTTACAATCGAAAGTTAACTGCAAGTTAACTCAGAGATAGCGTTTTTCAATATCAAGTTTGTCTTAAAGTAGCCTTTCTTAGTTGATTTCTCAGATAAGATGCTTCCTCAAGAAATGTCCCTAATACCAGGTTTTAAAATCGAAAGTTAACTGCAAGTTGACTGCTAACCAGAAGTTAACTCTAAAATAGCGTTTTTCAATACCTATTAAGTTTGTCCTAAAGTGGCCTGTCTTAGTTGATTTCTTAGATAAGATGCTTCCTTGAGAAATGTCCCTAAGGCCAAGTTTTACAATCGGAAGTGAACTGCAAGTTGACTGTTAACCAGAAGTTGACTCTGAAATAGCGTTTTTCAATATTAAGTTTGTCCTAAAGTGGCCTGTCTTAGTTGATTTCTTGGATAAGATGCTTCCTCAAGAAATGTCTCTAAGGCCAAGATTTACAATCGGAAGTTAACTGCAAGTTGACTGTTAACCAGAAGTTGACTCTGAAATAGCGTTTTTCAATATTAAGTTTGTCCTAAAGTGGCCTGTCTTAGTTGATTTCTCAGATAAGATGTTTCCTCAAGAAATGTCCCTAAGGTCAAGTTTTACAATCGGAAGTGAACTGCAAGTTGACTGCTAACCAGAAGTTAACTCTAAAATAGCGTTTTTCAATACCTATTAAGTTTGTCCTAAAGTGGCCTTCTTAGTTGATTTCTTAGATAAGATGCTTCCTCAAGAAATGTCCCTAAGGCCAAGTTTTACAATCGGAGTTAACTGTAAGTTGACTGCTAACCAGAAGTTAACTAAGAAATAGTGTTTTTCAATATTAAGTTTGTCCTACAGTGGCCTGTCTTAGTTGATTTATTAGATAAGATGCTTCCTCAAAAAATGTCCCTAAGGCAAAGTTTTACAATCGGAAGTTAACTGTAAGTTGACTGCTAACCAGAAGTTAACTAAGAAATAGTGTTTTTCAATATTAAGTTTGTCCTACAGTGGCCTGTCTTAGTTGATTTATTAGATAAGATGCTTCCTTGAGAAATGTCCCTAAGACCAGGTGTTACAATCAGAAGTTAACTGCAAGTTGACTGGTAACCAGAAGTTGGCTCTGAAATAGGGTTTTTCAATATTAAGTTTGTCCTAAAATGACTGATTTCTTAAATCAGATGCTTCCTCGAGAAATGTCCCTAAGGCCAAGTTTTACAATCGAAAGTTAACTGCAAGTTGACTCCTAACCAGAAGTTAACTCTGAAATAGCGTTCTTCAATATCAAGTTTGTCCTAAAGTGGCCTGTCTTAGTTGATTTCTTAGATAACATTCTTCTTCAAGAAATGTCGTAATACCAGATTTTACAATCGGAAGTTAACTACAAGTTGACTGCTAACCAGAGGTTAACTTTCAAAAAGGGTTTTTCAATATCAAGTTTGTCCTTAAGTCGCCTGTCTTAGTTGATTTCGTAGATAAGATGCTTCTTTAAGAAATGTCGCTAAGACCAGCTTTTACAATAGGAAGTTAACTGCAAGTTGAGTGCTAACCAAAAGTTAACCCTCAAAAAGCGTTTTTCAATATCAAGTTTGTCCTGAAGTGGTAGTTAACCTTCAACCAGAGGACCATGTATGCGCTAACTATAAAGTTGTGGTCAAACCGTAATTTCTAACGTAATGACACAAGTTGTCATGGATGACACGAGACACAGATACCGAACATCACGAAACGTAAAGAACACGATAATTCAGGCATCGTCAACGTGTATATATATTGTTAACCAGAACTCGAAAAACGAATGATAATTAACTTCCTTAAAAGTTAACCAGCGATTGAAAAACCGGGCTTAAGCTACATTAGCCACAGAAGAATCTGAGAAAATATTGCTCGCGTTTTATATGAGGAATCCATACGCTACTTATACCTACAAAAAGCATGGTATCGCAATTTATTGATGTAAGTATACTCCCAACCCCAATAATTCTATGTGCCTATTAGAAATATTTCACACATCATAGATTTTACATTTGCCCTTAAAACGAAAGAAAATGTTTTCGACAAGCGTCCCTGCGTGTGCTGACTTCAACGACTGCAGTTGGCGTGCCGGTGTTCGTATGCATACTGCATGACTAACTTTTACCTTGAATGGTCTAACTTTAACGTGCTTCTTTCGTCCGTCCAATCAAAGTCAGCCAACCACAGACAGCTGTTTCGTACTTTTTTGGCAACTTATCAGCATGATCTAGGCTTGGTCTCTGGGACAATGAACGAAAGGAGGAATATAAGGTCTATGGCGTTGTCTTATTTCGATAGGGCTTTTAATTTGTGCTGAGCGTAAACCTTTTTTTCACTGGTTTACAAAATGACAAATTACGAAGTATGAGTTTGCTTGAAAATAGTCATGTTTCTTTCGTTAATCCCATCTTGAAATGAAATAACTTCACAAAACGGGCAACACAGTGGCAAACGAGGATAATAATCTCATAAATGAAGTTTCAGTGTCGCATGCGAGAATATGTGGCATGCGACATTGATATCGAAACGGGAATGGCAATTTGTTGAAACATTAGACATTTTATGAATGTGAGATTCGAGAGTACCGGCTGAGGGTGGTAAAAATACACCGTTCTCTCATAATATAGTCATGTACTAAATTCAAAGAAAGTAGCATACAGCATCGTACGCCACTGCCAGCTGGGTATGTCTTTATGTACATGTGAGCGGATCCTATATCGTAACTGCGCACAGAATTTTTGACTGCCGGAGTGTCAGTAACAATCATCCAAACAAGCTATTGGTATGCTGTTACCTCGTTACGTACTGGATTGATTTGGTCTGCTGATAGCACCTAAATCAGTGGCGTACGAAGCGTCACGTTACTTTCCTCCAATCTGGTACTTGACCACTTGACTATACAAGGTGGTTCAGAAAATCGTGGCACAATGCATTCAAAAATAACAAAAGTATAAACGTAACGATGATATTTACAAGGACATTCGCTCTTAGAAGCACTGATGCAGATGATCCTCCCCCTGATCTTCAATTCCCAATTGTCAATACTATCCCGAGGGACCGCGGTTGGCCGCGTGGGTCAGAGTGTCGTGCTACTGATCAGCCGGCCGGCCGGGACGAGAGTTCGAATCTCGCCTTCGCCATGGATGTTGTGACGTCGTGTGTTTGTACATAATTAGATATATTCTATATACAACCTAGTTTCTGGCTGCATGGCTTAGTCCTAAAGCCAAAAAAAAAAATACTATCCCGCTCATTGAAATTGACAAAAGGGCACTTGTTATCAGACGCAAAGGGCGCTGATCCAGCAGACGGCGCCACGACCCCTCCACTTTTCAATTTCCAATCGCAGAAACTCCCTCCCACTTCCGAGAGGGCATCTTGAACAATTTCGGGAGGCGCTAGAAAATAATTGATTCTCAAAGTAGGCAGTAGACGAAATAAGTTTAAAAACCTTTGACCAAAAAGACTCATTATAGGGTGTTACAAATCTTGACGCCACTGATGAGACTAAATAAGGACAGAACTTGAATAATATTTAAGTAACGTTATGGCGAGATAGGATTACTTCCATAATATACAATTTTTAATGTCACATTTCACTGACTTCAGCGTATTTTCAAAGTAGGAGGGGTTGACGTTTTCAATAGATTTTACCTCAAATAAGGAATTTGGCTCCAAAATCAAAATTTACATAACAGAGGCGATTCATGTAAGTCTAAGGCCCGTATCGTCAGTCGTCCCTACAATTGTAGGGCGCCTTTATGGCCTCCTTGATTGTCATAGTTTTCTGCTTCTCCGTGTCAGAACTATATTTTGAGGTTATGTAACAAACATCTATTTGCATCAAATTGTGCTTGCTTTTGAGTTATATCATGTTTTATCAGCCTGAATTTTCCTACAATTTAAAAAGAAAACATATCTTCACAATAGGAGAGCGCTGACGCTGACACGGGACAAGTGTAATCTAGAAATTTTTGAAGGAGAGAAAAGAGGATGACAATCAAGGAGGCCATAAACGCGCCCTACAATTGTAGGGACGACTGACGATACGGGCCTAAATATCTTGTCCACTTATTGTAAATACTTCGGTGTAGTCCCAGACCCGTAAATTTTGTATGTATCGACTGTGCTGTTAATACTTCATGTACCAAATTTAATTCGATATCTTTCAACACACTCCAAAGATTTCTTTTGCAACTTCAGCCTGAATCTCGAAGACCCATATTTATAAGAACTTTTCGTATTATTTTTGGGCATATCAGGTAACCAAATAAGTTCGTATGGCTTTTAGTACAAAAATATGATTTTTTATTGAGAAACAATAAGACAGTATTTATTCGTCGAAGTAATTACCATCACATTAAATGACCTTTTGCCAACAAAAAATTGGCGGACTTCATTTATACACCATCTCGAGTTGTGAACTGTCGGTGCCTCATACAGTTGTCAAGAGACAAAAAAAGGTGATATTCACTGGGCGAAATGTCGAGAGAGTATGGCGGGTGCGGTAACGTTTCCCAGCCGAGTTCTCGGGTCACTTTTGCGGTTTGAGGCTTGGCGTTATCCTGCAAGAATATCACTTTCTCCCGATTGATCAAAGAAGGCTGTTTCTGGATGAGTGCTGCTTGTACTCGTTGAAGCTGCACACAATACATGTTAGCAGTGATGGTTTGACCCCTTTCCAAAAACTCATAATGGACAATTCCAGTTGCTGACCACCAAACACACAACAAAACCTTGTTTGGGTGCAAGGAAGCCTTGTGCTACCGAATCAGTAGGCGACAACCAATGATACGAACGCTTAGAATCCGAATACAAGATCCATTATTCGTCGCAGGTTAATAACAGAAGAAATGGTTCATTAGCGTTGCGTGAAATGTTTGCTGAACGACTTAATTTGTTATCATTTGTCTATTCATGTGGGACCCATTTGCTTAGCTTCCACGTCTTTCCTAGCTGATGAAGATGCAAACGAATAGTTTCTGGACTCACTCTGAACATTTCTGCAAGTTCTTGGCACGTTGTCCTGGAATTTGCGTCCACAACCTGTCGAAGATCCTCGTTGTTCATGATTTTTGGTCTGCCTGAGCGCGGTTCATCGCTCAAACTGAGATCTCCCGAAGAAAATTTTTGAACCACTTCTGTGCTGTTCGATCGATAACAAGATCATCTCCGAATGCGGTACATATTTTTCGCATCGCCGCTGCAGCTTTTGTACCAAGTTTGTACTCATTTAGTAAACAACTCCGAATTACTGTTTTCAACGCCATTTTCAATTATTAAAACTAGGCATGTAACAATTTTCAGCAACTTTTTATGTATGTGAGAAAGAAGGATTCATACGAAAGTGACAACAGGTAACAAACAATCGCTATCGATCAACAACATCCATGGCAATGTGCGATATACAACAACCGCACGAACTTATTTGGTTACCTACCTGATATTTTCTACTGCGGAATTATTAACGATTTTCTGAATCACCCCGTAGAAGTATTCTAAGTAATTAGTAAGATTTTTCCGTAACCATCGTTTCTTACATCAGTTTAATGATTGCAGATCCAGGATGGGTCGTGGCGCGTACCACTCTAGCAGGGCTGAAATTTTTGAGTGATGAGGCCATACTCAAATACAACAGAAATGGAGGCTGTTTCGTCACCACCAAGAAGGCAATCGCCTTCGTCGTCTTCGCTTTAGGTTCATTGGCCGCAGTTATACTCGTGATGTACTATTATGGCCCTAATCGAGGGGAAAAGGTAAGATACGATGCTGCTTCCAGGAGGTTCTTGGTATAAAGCCCTATCTTCATACTGGACTAAGCTCAGCCATCTCTAACGCTGCGTTCTCACTAAGGTTTGGCAATGTAAATGTATGTGTATGTATGTGGCATATTATACATTTTGGAATCAGAACTAAACATTCTATTCGCCTATGCATAATTCTAATATGGCGTCCTTGAGAAAAAATAAAGTTAATGCTGGAAGACAGGAGACGAAACGTCATATTGAAATTCTAATTATGCCATCTTGTAAAGGAAAAAAGTGGAAATGTTAATGTGCAATTTCTTTTGAGATCCCACTACAAATAAAGTTAGGGAAAAATAAAAACAATTTTGGGAAAATTCGTTTTTTTTTCGTCTCCAGCATTTTTGTAGTTACCTAAATACGCAACATTGTCTTCATTCAAGCCACTTCGTATCTGATACTGTTTCCGAGATCCTGATGGCGAGGGTCAGATTCGAAGCACTTGGTATAGTGATGTGGCAATGAGTGGAAAAAATCGAATAATGGAAAATCGATTTTTTTATTTCCAATATTGATTAATTGCTCTGTGAAAAAACTATTTTAGTAGAAGAAATTGTAGACTTTTCTGGAAATATCGACTTTTTCTATAGTCGATAAACTGCAAGCTTTTTCTGTATAGTGATAATATACTAAGTGACATATAAATCCGAACACCCAGTTTAAATGGTTTTATTTTTAATAAAAGTTGGTGAATGTATTTATCTTACTGTAAATAACAAGTGAAAAAATTTTCAGCCTTATCAGTTGGACATTCCGGTTTTATACTGTTTTTTTTAATTCACTAACGCTCTAAAAATGAATATTTCAGCCGCAGTAAAGAATCAACGTTGGCGGATTTTGGTTCTTGACATCCTTTACGATGCCTAGAGTACGGAGACCTGTACGATTTCGTCAACTTAGTGAGTTTGATAGGGGCCGTATAGTGGGACTTCGGGAAGCTGGACTTTCTTTTCGGGCAATTGCAGTTAGAGTGCAAAGAAGTGTAGACACTGTGGTTAGGTGTCGCCTAAGATTATTGGCCTTAAGGGACCGTTTCTCCACTACCAGGTCCATTGCAGATGAATAGTTGCAGAACACGGAAGACCTATTGGCATGCGAAGTGTTTACCGACGAATGAGAAGTTTTGGCTTGTTTTCATACCGGCCACACTGGGTCCTCCCTTTACTCGAGAACACCGACGTAATCGCCTTGAGTGGTGCAGACAACGGTCACTCTGGTATCAGGAATGGAACAGTATTGTCTTTAGTGACGAGTCTCGATTTTGTTTAGGCAAGCACGATGGTCGTGCCAGGGTTAGAAGGCGACGTGGTGAAAGGAGGAATCCACAGTTTTTTGTTGAAAGACATGTTCATCGCACTGTTGGAGTTATGGTTTGGGGTGCTATAGCTTATGGTTCCAGGTCACCTTTAATCTTCATCAGAGGGTAACATGAACGCGCAGCGTTATATCCACGAAGTTCTAGAACCCCATATTTTACCCTATCTTGACACCCTGGCAGATCCAACTTTCCAACAAGATAATACCCGACCACATGTTGCAAGAGTCACATAGACTTCTTTCAACATAATGATGTCACATTGTTACCATGGCCACCAAGATCTCCCGACTTATCCCCAATTGAGTTACGTGTGGTGGATATGATGGGTAGGAGATTGCTCAATTGCAACGTCCTCCTCAGACTCTAGAAGCACTTCGAGAGGAGTTGGTGGTTGCCTGGAATGAGATACCACAGGAGGACATTGACCACCTGATCAGAAGCATGCCTAGGCGCATTGGAGAATGCGTAGCACATCAGGGTGCATCCACACATTATTAAAGGTCAAAGGGCTTTAAAGCAGTGCACTCATTTTGAAATTTTTATCATTTACTATTATGCTTCATTAAGTACTTATACAAAATTTTATTAAAATAAAACCATTTAAACTGGGTGTTCGGATTATATGTCACTTAGTATATAAAATCATGATCAGTTGATGAATATAAACGTAACAAAACGACCACATTCTGATTTCAAATCTAACAAACAAACAAACAAATTATCAGTTAAAGACTTTATTAGAATTTAAATAAAATAAAAACACGAGAGAGCACCAATCGGACATATAAAAAACTTAAAATACAAAACAAAACTTCTTTGAATAGAAACATAAAACATTTTGACTATAATCTCGGAAATGAAACACTAAATTTTAAGTTAACCATAAAAAACTAAAAATAATTATTGTCACATGGCGCAGCTCACAAAGAATAGATTAAAATGGGTAATCTATATAATATATATACCTAACGCTTGGTATCCGTCGTTATCAATAATCCCAATGTGTCCGTCCTTTTGGTTTTATATTAATTTGTAATAAGAGCTTCATCCGCGCTTTCGTTTTGTGAAAGACCAGTTGGCTACAACCTCAGCGACGAGTAAGTTGTCTCATAATTTAAACCCTTCGCATATTGGTTGCCAGATTCATATTTGTGTTTTCAGCTCCTGAAGATGGCTCCATAGAGAAGCCGAAGCTCGAGATTACCGTTAAAAGAGTTTACTAAAGCAAAGAAAATGCCAATTTCCCAATTAACAATTGATTGTATTTCATGCCCGTATATATATATACGTATATTATACAGTCAATTTTAATCATGAGCATGGGCACCCGCAGGATTTTTTCTCAAGAAAGTGCGATCATCGCAAGAGATAAGTTTGTTAGTAGTATAATTGGTCGACAGACGACTAGCAATGTACAGCTGTTTCTTGCTGTTTGACAGTTGCTCAGTGTGGTGAAGGCTTGAATAATGAACGAAAGCTGAACAAAAAACTCTATTCAGTGGGGAGTTCTGGCAATAGATGGCAGTTTATGCTGTCTCATCTAGATAACTTTATGCCCAGCCCCAAAAACTTTTCGAGAGGGAGGGGCAAAGCCTGAAAATCCCTAAAATTATACACAAAAATCATACTAAATATACAAATTTGAAGTACAACCGAATACTCAGGGGGGCAACGGCCCCTCTGGCACCTCCTGCAGGCACCCATGAATCTAATCGTATAATGCCAAAACATAAATTGTTCGAGAAAGTGTAAAGACCTTAATCATACTTTTATGCCCTGAATGTCACCGTAAATTTCCCTGAAAAAATTATGTAACCCTTGTGCATCTTAAGATTTTTGCTCCTCAAAACCTTTGGGGGAGTCCTAATCCCGGATTCTCCCAGGTCCGGGTTTTCATTCGGCTGTCCTGAATGTGTTTATTAATGAAAGGAATATTGAACAACGTGCCGCAAGCAATTATTTTATACTAATTCATGATCACCTGATCTCACAGTGTAAATATTGTTAATAATTGCAGAGACGCCACTTGTACTCGGCAATTAATTACGTCCAATAATAGTTATTCGTTATTTCTTCCGAGTCTCATTATAACTATACATCGATGAACAGTGTGTGGTATTATTATACAGGGTGCTACCAAAGTACTTGGCGGAACTTCAAGATAAAAGTATCTTATCGAAAAACTGTTTTTGTTCTTCTTCCCTGAGAATCGACCATCTGGCAACGCTGCTGATCCACACCATTCAAACATGTTATAAACGCCAGCCACGAGACTTTAACTCGAAAATCCAGAGCCCTGGAGATCATCCCTGCTGGCGATGCAGTTAGACGCAAAGTCCAAGCGTCGCGTCTTTCGACCGAAGACGTGTCGTGACTGTAAATATTTCAAGTTTTAAGCGCAAATGTTCGGGGAAGCCTTTGATATGTGAGATTATGTACTACTGATAGGTGTGTAAGATTGATGGGGCTGGAAGCGTATAAGTATACTCCCACCCTTGCATTTCATCTCCTGCTAATTTTTTTTCTGAAAATGGCCAGGAGCCTTAAAACGTCAAAAAAAACGTAGATTGTGCGGTGTTTATTTTTTACATGTTTTTGCTCCTAGCTCTGCAGCCATTGAGCCGTTATTCTAAAATTGTTTCGTCCCTTGGAAACTTTCATCGAAATCAGACCGGACTTCCCAAGCTATAGGTATAGTCCAAGGATAGCGGTCAGTTAAACAGATAGACCGACGGAAAATGAGTGATATGGTTTTTCGTGATGATCCAAAAACCATATCTTATTTCAAAATTTTTAGCGATTACGATAATTATTCATCCAGTAGCGTAGGAAGTAAGAATTTATAAGCCGAATCAATTAAAATTAGGTAACATTTAGCAGATTCAGATGTAACACCGAAAATTTAAATAAAACCACTTGAGAAAAATGATAATATTAATATTATTTCAGTGGACTACAAGAGTATAGGAGTCGCCGCAAATTTGTAACACAGACAGATTCAGAAATATATACGAGGGATGTCTTTTAAGTTTTGCATATGGAAATAAAACAACACGGTGGGTAGTTTTAAATGACTTTATTGTTTTTCGAAGTATTCTCCACGAATATTAATACACATCTGCATGCGCTCGAACCAATTTTCGAAGCACTTATTCCACTCGTTTGCTGGCAGATCCAAAACGGCATTTTTGAATGCGTCAACTGCTTCTTCTGGTGACTAAAACCTTTGACCACGCAGTCTGTTTTTAATTTCAAAGTAAAGAAATCGTTAGAACTTAGATTGAGACTATATGGAGGATGGTCCAATAATTCCACGTTTTCTTCCGTTAAATACTGCCTTGTTTTTTGGGCTGTGTGCGAGCTTGCATTGTCTTGGTGGAGGATGATTCTTCTTTCGGGGTTGATTTTTCGAAGCTCGGTGGTGACTTTTGGCAAACAAATGGTGGTATACCAATCCGCATTAACAGTTCTTTGCTCATTAAGAGGAATTGTTGTGCAATATCACCCGCTTTTGACACAAATGTAGCGACCATCTTTTTCGAAACACTGTCGTTTATTTTCTTATTCATAACAGTAAATCCTCGATTCATCACCACTAACAATGCTGTACACATTTTATGAGTTTTCGGAATTGAAACGGTCAAGCGTTTTTGACACCCTGGCTGCTTTCTGCTCTTCAGTCAACAGGTGGGGTATCCAACAAGAAACTAATCTTCTTACTCATAATTCTTCATGTAAAATTTTTTGAATTGAGGTTTGTGAGATCTTCAAGGACGCCTCAATCTCGCGATATGTCACGTGTCTATCTTCAATGATGAGTTTTTGGTGCAGACACCCTTGGATCGTCGCTAAGACTCACCCGTCCACGTTTGAATTCTCCATACCAACGGGAAATTATCGACTGATGTGGCGCTTCGTTGCCGAAGACAGACAGTAACTCAGCAAGGCATTCTTGTTGCGATAATTGTCTCTGAAAGTTGTAATAAATTATGGCGCGAAAATGTTCTCGGTTGAGTTCCATTTTTCTAATGACTTGGTGACACTTAAAACTTAAGTTTACTGTAGAGTGAGGTTAAGATTCAGTACTGACGTTCGATCCTCGCGGCCTACTATGTTTCTATATGCAAAACTTAAAAGACATCCCTCGAAGCACACGTACAAACAGATATACATCACATATACAGACAAATAAAAATATCACTTATCCAAGAATTCTATAAAATGCGTTTTCCTCAAAATACATATTCAGTTGTTCTCTTTTGAACTTTCCTATATCTATTATGCTCTAAGGCGGCTCCACTTTAGATTTTTCACAAGATTTATGGTGGGTTGAAATCCTTAATTTTTTTGTTGAACTTTTTTTTAAAAAGAGCCTAGTGGAAAAAAAAAAGTGGCTCGATAGCACCCTTTACCGTCTGAATTACAATTACAATTTTAACCGAATTTTAATAAGGTTTGGTATACTGCATCTTAAAAGTGATGCATTTGTTGTCGTACTAGTGGCGGATTCAGGAGGGTGTCCTGAGGATCCGGCCCCCCGAAATAACCGAGTCAAAAAATTTGACCGTCTTTTTTAATTTCCAGACGATCCACGCTTTCGAATTTTTAATCGCCGATACACCCGCTCTTCCATATTGTATCGCCAATACGACCTCACCCTTCCCGCGCGGGACTTGCATCTTCCTGGACATAAATGCTGAGCTCCATCCCCCAAAATATGTTCTAGATCCGCCCCTGAGACCCATGTCTGTAGAAACTTTTATTCTTTGACCAAATATTTAATTTCGACACCCCGTATATTTGTCTCTATTTTGAAACGCACTGATCCGAATTTTTCCAATATATTCGACATTTACGTAACCTTATTTTTTATTTGCCGTGCATACATTTTTTTATTATCACGTTAGTCACGTCACACTTTTGCGCGAATCGCCGCAAATGGGCCTTGAAATCATTTCCCATAACTAACTTATGAACATATAGGATATGTTTCATGATCTAACTGTTGGAACCGATGAGTCCTGTATGCAAGAAGAATCTGCATTCTCGCTACACAAATAAACATGTGTAAGTCATTCATGTTTAAAACATACTGGATTTTCCACTTGTTTATTGATATCTTGGTTGAACAAGGCAAATAATAGTATATTATAAATTTAGGTTTAAAATTAGGGTATTATTCAGGAAGTACTTTTCTTATATGTACAAAATTGCAAATTGTTACTAATCTTGACGTTGCAAGGACAAAAACGACACAGAAATTAGATACAATAAAAAAATGTATTCATGAAATTATAAGTGGTGCATAAAATGATTTCTCGATAGGTAGAGCTTAATTATGGACCGATCAAAGGCTTAGGCAGATGTGCTTGCCAAGATCTTTGCAACCAACTCCACCATGGACGTATCCCCCTCCCCCCGCGCCCAAGTGCCGTCGCTGCGGAAAGTAACATTCAGGCATAAGGCCGTAAGTCGGGTACCCTTGTTGCTTGTCATCAATGAAGCTTCTGGTCCAGACTTGATTCCTGCCGTTGTACTGAAGAGATGTATATCAGAGCAGAGTCCATTTCTTTGGCTTCTCTTCCAGATATCTTACGAATCCAGCACATTCCAAAAAAATACTGGAAATTTGTTCACGTCCAACCCATCCCAAAAAAGGATTTAAGAGAACCAGTATGTTATTTTTGCCGAATTGTCGATTTTATGTAAGAACAAATTCCGAACTACTCTTATAAGGAATATGAAAACTATATGTCTTGGCTTTACCACCTGTAACAATCAAGCATTGTAATATTTGTCTATACAAAGTCAACTATTCTATTTTATCGACAGTGATAACCATAAAACAAACACATACGCAATTCGATAGCTGTTATGATTTTAAAAGTTTACACCTTCATTGATCTTTGGTAAAAATGTGATGTATGTATTAAGACGTATATGTTATAGGCAAAGTCAGACACGAATATTTCGCTCTGTGTCTTCGAACTCATTAAAACATAAGATTTGCTAATAGTCCACGACATAACTCGTAGAAGAACTCTCAGTACTTTTTTTTGTTTAACATTTAATTAGCATGATCGTTAAAATTACATTCTTTTAAAAAATTACAACAATTACATAACATACAGATATTTAGAAAAACAAAATTTGCATCCCTAAGAATTTTAACTATCCATGAATTAATCCTTTAATTGTCTTTTGAACATCTTTAAATTAGAAGTAGACTTTATATCATTATTTAGTTTATTAAATTCAAGTAATCCTTTCTGAAATATGGACTTGCTATTTATATTACTATTGCAATTTTGTAAATAAAAATCTATATTTCTTTTTGCTTAATAATTGTGGTAATGATTATGCAATTCTATGTAGTGTTCTAAATGATGTGGCAAAAGATTTATTTTTATCCCAATATTATTCTCATAGCTTTATTGATATTAATTTAAAGCTTTAAAACCCACTGATATTCAGTATAAAGTACATTATTTTTACTCTAGGGTTTACTCTATGCATTATCTTTTTGCAAATTCGCCGAAATAGTTATTTATTATACAAGGGAAAAGAGTACTAGATTTTGAAATCTAGTACTTTTCCCATGTATAATACACAATTTTTTTCTGTTAGGGGAAAAACGACAATTTAATATTGAAAAATTATATTATTACAATATTTAAGTCAGAAAATTATCGATGTGAAATTTGAATTATAAAATTAGGTAGGTTATTTTTCCCGTGTGTAATACACAATTTTTTGTGACGGGAAAAACGACGACTTAATATTAAAAAATTATATTATCACAATAAAATCAGGAAATTATTGATGTGACATTTGAATTTTGAAATTAGTAGGCTGTGTTGTACTTATAGCGACAATTAGACCTGCATTGCTAAGGAAACTTTTAAACTAATCAAACACAACTGTCAATTTAATTTTGTGATTTGATTTAAAAATTGCAAACAGTGGTTTTTTAGAAGTTATTTTTAATACTATAAAGTAAAAAATATCTGATTCAGAGTTTTCTTTGACTCCACCGGCACGGTATCATGTAAAAAACCTATAAAACCTCAAAAAAAACCTATAAGATGTCATCTTGCAAACTAGGTAGTTTTTAGGGCTCAAACAGTCATTCCACGTTTGCTCACTAGGATCGTTGTGAACGTCCATCTATGAAGGAATCACTCAACTAAACTACACGCATTATTGGTTGCATATGTTTTATGAGGATGAGTGGTCCTTGTCTGTAGTTTTTATCTCTGGGAAGAAAGTTGAGTTATTTTTACGTTGTGCTTTCTGAAGAGAGGTTATGTTCAAAGTTATAAATTACGAAAAACTGAGGAGAATTACGAGAAATCATCACCGCGCGCGGCGTTGTGTACTGTTACCAGTTAATCGCTGGTAATTCGACAGTGTACAGTGAATATAATTATTTCTTATCTCTCTCATTTTTAAATTCAGCAAATTTGTATATGTAATTTCCAGAATGGATAAGAAAAAGTGGATGCGCATCTAATTTCTAGCTTTGAATCTCAATTAAGTGTATTTGAGACAAGAACCCAATGTAATTATCATCGACACATAAAACTTACAGCTTAGACCTCCAGTAATGCCATCTCAGAAGCAGATTTTACATCACATCAGAGCCAAAGATTGATAACAAGCCTCATGACGCTTAGGCAACACGTACAACTAAGTGCTAAGTTAATATTTTGTAGAAAAACCTACATAATGTAAAAAAAAAAACAGCATAATGTCAAAAAAAATCGGCATAATGTCACTTTTCAAGATGCAGGATACCTGTGCGGAATTAGTAGAAGTAACCAAAGTAGCGTCACAAAAATTATTGCCAGCTAAATCGTTTATACAATGTCCGGGAAAAAAGTACTCATTTTTTCCCGGGGAAAAAATTAATTTCATAAAAAGTGACATTTGTTACCTGTCAACAGAGATAAAATGTCAAACTTTTTTCCGACACAGAAATTTTTTTTTTATTTTGCGCCATCATCTTTCAAACGAGTCTTGACACTGACGCAAATATTGACAAGGTTTACTCGTATTCCGTATTTTGATCCATCTCAATCGACAATTTCAGTATAAAATTTGCATTTTGGAACGCATACTGATTTCGAACTCATATGCAATTTGAATGTCTTTTATCATTTGATATCGCACAAGTTGCATTAGTAATTCCAAAAATTTTCGATCGAGGCTGACCTACATTCATACAAGCTTATCATGGTTAACCTGGATATTGAAAATTCTTCACCTTCGTATCGCAGCATAAAGCATACATAAATGTTCTAGTGGATGCAGTAACGATAGTATCGTCCTCGTTTGAGCATGTGATCACACTTTAGAATGTTTTCAGCGAAAAGAAGCACAACAACCGTGTACTAATTGCGCATATCTGCGATTTTATTTCTCCCGCCAACTGGTGAGGAAGTCTAGATAAATAGTTTCATAAATTGCAAACCGGTCA